CCGGCGGCAGCGCCCGGCCCTCGATCCCGGGCTGCCGCCGGGGCGCGGCGCTGCCGGAGCTTTCGCTTCGGCCGCCGCAGTCCGCGTAAGGTCGGAGTCGTCGCCGCCCCTCTCCGCCGCGGGAACGCGACCTCGCAGCGCCGGGCGGCGATGGCCAGGCTTCGCACCGCCGCCGTGTTCCCCTCTCGGCCCGGTGGGGATCCCCGCCGCGCCGCTCTGCCTCGCCCCGGACAGCGCCGCCGCCCCGGGCGCTTTCCCCTTCCCGGCCGCCCGGGCTTACCTGCCCGCCGCAGCTCCTCCATAGCCGCGGCCAGCTGCTCCGCCTCACGGCACTCCTCGGCAACGGGCGCCGCCGCCCCGGGGTGCTCCCAGCGCTCCCCGGAGCTCTCCGCGCTCTCCAGGGACTCGGCGGAGCGCAGGGTCATGGGAGGCGGCGGCGGGCGCGGCCCCGCTCGCACGCAGGTCGGGGGCTGCCGGCAGGAGAGGGCTCCGCTTCGCCGCCGCGGGGCTCAGCGCCGCGCTGGGTGCATGGTCCCGGCCCCCAGCCCGGGCGCCGCCTGCGAGCGGAGAGAGAGCGCGGTTAGCGGCGAGCCCCGCGAGAGGCGCTCCCGACGCAGAGCGTGTTTCTGGCGATCCCGCTTCGGAACTTCCCAGCATCCAGAGGAGGGACCCGAGGCGAGAGATCACCTCCCGGCGGAGCGGGGGAGGGACATCTCCTCCCCCCGCCGCCCAGCCTGTCCTCGGTTCCTCTCCGCCGGGGACTCGGCGGAGGCGGCGTCCCGAGACGGTGGTCTCGCTTTATCGCAAAGGCGAGCCCGCTGATGCCCCGCTCCCTCGGCTGGGGCAGGCGAGCCCAGCCGGCAGCTCTGTGACTTATGGGGAGGGAGGAGGTCGTGGGGGAGAGCCGAGCACTTAAAGGTATGAGAGAGGAGGGGGAAACAGCAGAGCGGGGCAGAGGTCCCAGCCCCGGCGCTGCCCGGGTTTCACGTTGCGGTGCGTACGGACGCCTTCCAGTAAGGTTATCTCCGAAGTCGTACCTGGAGGAACTGGAACGGAAGCCCGGCGTGGGCCATGTTCCTGGGACGGGAGACCTCCTCTCGGGCAGCGGAGTACCCGAGAAGCTGCGGAGCGAGTGCGCCGGCAGCGCCGGCTCCGGGGGCTCGCCGGCCGCTTGGGAACGGAAGGGGCAGCGCGGTGGAGGACGCGCTATAATTAGCGCGGGGCAGGAAATATGCTTTTTCCCGCTCCATTAAATACTGATATTAGGGGGGAAATAAAAAATCTTTCCTCTTGGCTGAAGCTAACGAGAGGGACAAAAAGACCCTCTTCTCTCCTGGGTGCACCGCCACATCAGGAGCGACACAAAGCCGGGCAGTACCAGAGAGGGGGAGCCTAGCCGGCTTGGCTGGAGTGGAGGGACGGGGCTCACGGGGAAGACCGGGAGCCCCTCGTCGGTGCTTGCGACCCGGACAGTCTCTGCCTGCGGATGCACAGCAGCCGCCAGGTGAGAGGGTTACCCTGAGGTGGTTCCTCCCATTAGTAAGTTCCGCGGCGGAGCTCAAAAACTTTCTTTTTCAAATTAAACTGTAGTGGCAACTGATAGAGTGTTCTTACGGGTTTCTATCCCAACATATCTAGGCACACGCGCGGGAGCCCTTCGACAAAGCCCATCCCCTCCTTCCCCCGCGCAGAAGCTCCCGCCGCCGGCTCGGTGACCGGGCGCAGGTGCGCCTGTGACCGGGAGAGGCTGCGGGCGCGGGGCCGACGAGCGCAGGTGGGAGCAGCCCTGCCAGCGGTGTCCGGGCGCGACCCCCTGTGAAAGGGAGGCTCCGGGAGCGCCTAGCCGCGAAGCGCCGCCGCCACGGGAGTTCGGTGGGGACGGAAGGCTGGCGAGGCGGTGGCGGCTGGCTGCAGCCCGGCGTCCCCCGGCAGAGGCGAGGAGAGCCGGAACAGCCTGCCGCCGGCTGCGGGGAGCCTCCATCCCGGCGGTCGGCAGCATCGTACCGGGAGCGGGGCGGGGGGCTGCCGGCTCTCGAAGAGACGCAGGGCACCGGGCGGAGGGGGGGCGACGACAAGGGGACTCACCCGGGCTCGGCGGGACGGGGCTGGGGCCGCCGCTGCCGCCGCCTGGAGGTGGGGCGGTCAGGTTGTTCTGGCTCCCGGCGGCGTCGGGGGGCCGGGGGGACACAGCACCCGCCGCCGGGGAGAAGCGTCGAGGCTGTGCCGGGGCGGACAGAGGCTGCCGGGGGAAGATGGTGCTCCTGGGGAAACAACACCCTCCTCTCCCCCGCCTCTCCCCGGCGCGGGCGGTCTGCTCGCCTTTGATTGCGAGGCGAGGGCATCCTGCCCCCGCCGCTCCCCCCTCCCGGGATGGTTACATACAAAGGCTGCTTTCCAGGAACTTTCCAGGAACCGCATCATGTGACAGGACCCGCTCCGGCGCCTCCGCCGCGATCGCGGCCAGCCGGGGCCGACGCACCGAGCCGCCGCCCCTGTCACGCCGGGGCAGCGGTGGCCGAACGCTGCCCCGCGGCCCCCTACATCTCGTTTTGACAGAGCCT